TGGTTAAAAAACAAAAACCAAAACCACCCTAAGTGGCTTAGTATCATATTGGGAAATTATTGATAAGGAAAACTGTTTTAAAAACCTGGTTAAAAAATACTATATAATCTCCCTACATGAACAGTATTGAAACCCATACATTATCAAAGTATTTTAAGGACATGATTCTTTATAATATAGCCACTAACAGATGAACTAGATATATTTTAAATGTTTACTTACTAATCAATTGATCAGATTTCAATATGTATTGCTAACATTATAAAAATAGATTAGGTTTCACCTCCTTAACAAAATATCTGCTTCATAAATGCTCAAAAAAGACATTTGCAAAAGAGATGATAACTATAGATATAAATCACTTTGTGGTTGGTCTTGATTTGTTAACCAAATACTACTTGGGAGAGGGGAAGAGACAGTCATTTAAAATGAGAGAAATTCTAAGAAACTCAAAAAGAAAGCAAGAATACCCAAAGCACAGGGCCGGGCGCGGTGGCTCAAGCCTGTAATCCCAGCACTGTGGGAGGCCGAGGCAGGTGGATCACGAGGTCAAGAGATCGAGACCATCCTGGTCAACGTGGTGAAACCCCGTCTCTACTAAAACTACAAAAAATTAGCTGGGCATGGTGGCGCGTGCCTGTAGTCCCAGCTACTCAGGAGGCTGGGGCAGGAGAATTGCCTGAACCCGGGAGGCGGAGGTTGCAGTGAGCCGAGATCGCACCATTGCACTCCAGCCTGGGTAACAAAAGCGAAACTCCGTCTCAAAAAAAAAAAAAAAAAGAATACCCAAAGCACAAACTGTTCTCTTATGTTAAAAATATGAATGCCCATCAAATATTAAAGCTCATGAGAATTCTGCTAATTATACTAGGGAAGTGGGGCTTTTCAACTAATGTTCAGCCAATGTTGGTGGGTCAACAAATCACTCAAGACTTTGATCAGTGTCTCCTCAATCTAAATGGACTGAGTAATCATGGAAAGAAAGATTCCTTTAATTCTAGTTTGTCTCTAAATAATCATGGCTCAATTATTCTTAACCCCAGGTATACATTAGGAATCAAAGGGGCAACTGGGTGTGGTGGCTCACGCCTGTAATCCCAGCACTTTGGGATGTGGAGGTGGGCAAATCACAAGATCAGGAGATAGAGACCATCCTGACTAACACAGTGAAACCCCGTCTCTACTAAAAATACAAAAATTAGCCAGATGTGGTGGCATGTGCCTGTAGTCATAGCTACTTGGGAGGCTAAGGCGAGAGAATCACTTGAACCCAGGAGGTGGAGGCTGCAGTGAGCCGAGATCAAGCCATCGCACTGCAGCCTGGGCGACAGAGTGAAAGTCCATCAAAGAAAAAAAAAAAAAAAGAAGGAATCAAAGAGGCTGCTTAAAACAAAAAAGAGTAAAAATTATGTTGAGGTCTCATGCTCAGAGAACCTGATTTAATTGGTCTGAGGTTGGACCTGGCATAGGTATATTTATTTTAATTTCCCAGGTAGTTCTAATGTGTAGCCAAAGTAAACAAAACAAAACTTTGGTTAGCTAATCTAACTCAATTTCTTATATGTTTATTATATATTCCTTGTATATTAATTTTTTATTTTTAAAGGAAGGTAAATCAGGTTGGGCACAGTGGCTCATGCCTATAATCCCAGTACTTCGGGAGGCTGAGGTGGGTGGATCAACTGAGGTGAGGAGTTCACAACCAGTCTGGCCAAAATGGTGAAACCCCGTCTCTACTAAAAAACACAAAAAATTAGCTGGATGTGTTGGTGTGTGCCTGTAATCCCAGCTACTTGGGAGGCTGAGGCAGGAGAATTGCTTGAACCTGGGAGGCAGAGGTTGCAGTAAGCTGAGATCGGGCCATTGCACTCCAGCCTGGGCAACAAGAGCAAAACTCCATCTCAAAAAAAAGAGAAGGTAAATCAGATTTATAAGTGGACCAAATATTCCATCTAAAAATGATGGCCTAGTATAAATGGTAAAACATTAGGGCATTTCTCTCCTCTATTTAACATTTTCCATCAATGTATGTATATACATCACTATGTGCCTATACACTTAGAATTGTCTAGAAGGATTTTCATCAAGTTGCTGAACAGAGATTTTCTCTTAGGCATTAAGACTTTGATGAAATTTTTAGTTTTCTCTGCACTTTTAATTTTTTAAAATACACATGTATCATTTTAAAAAAATAAGGATATTTTTAAAATTTCCATTTCTAGACATTAAAGCTTTCGTCTATAATGTCTTAAAAATTTTAAATACTGTAATTAATAATACTCTGATCTAAAACCAAAGGAATTGGCAAATACATTTATTAATATTTAGAAAGGTTTGTTTTTCACACCTTACACATATACTTTTGAATTATTCCCTACTTTTCTCTTTCCGAATTCAAAACAGTTTTATTCTTAATCACTTATTAAAACAAAAAGGATTTTGACAATATTTAAAATACTTACACAGATTCTGCATCTTTTTCCTTTTTAATGATTCCTGGCAAAGCAAAAGTCTTTCTTTTCCTTGGTTTTATACCTTTAAAATAAATAGATATAGTTACAGAGACATAACTGTTCCTGATAAATATATTAAACTTATGAATACATCTTGCATCTTCACACATAATTTGTTCATAACTGCTGATGCTAAATATGGATGACAGAAACACAATTATCAACCACTCAACCTTATTGGTTAGACTTTTCTCATATTAATAAAGCATAGTCTATCATTCATCAAAAGATCATAACATTTACTTGACAGATAAAATCTTTTCTTTTCCTAAGTCTCCCCTAAGTCACCTTACATATAATAAGCATATGGCAATATCTTAAAACTTCCAAGAAAGTACATTATTCATTGTACCAAATTTTGTTATAAACGTCAAATCATGTTATAAAGGTCAAATCATGTTTGCTTTCTAGAGGATCACAAAATATAAATGCATTGTTTTAGATAAAAAGATGACACAGCAGATCCAATAGAAGTATATTTGGGGCCAGTGCAGTGATACATGCCTATGATCCCAGCACTTTGGAAGGCCAAGGTGGACAGATCACTTGAACTCAAGAGTTCAAAACCAGTCTAGGCAACATGGTGAAACCTTGTCTCCACAAAAAAATACAAAAAATTAGATGGGTGTGATGTCTATGGTCCTAGCTACTCAGGAGGCTGGAGTGGGAGAACTGCTTGAGTCCAGGAGGTAGAGGCTGCAGTGAGCTGCGATCACGCCACTGCACTCCACACTGAGTGACAAAGTGAGACCCTACCTCAAAAATTTAAAAAAAAAACAAAAACAGAAACCAAAAAAATCAACAAAATAACATGAAAAGTTTACAATATGCCATTCTTGTGTTCATATGTTATTCCTAATACAAACAATGCTATAAATGGATTCTACCTTAACTGAGGAGTAAAAATTACATTTTCCTAATAAGGCAATTCTGCATCCTCTTCTTTCATGACAAATTATTTTTAAAGGCCAGTCATGCTATTAACTGTTGACATAATTCAGCACTTAAGGCCCGGCACAGTGGCTCATGCCTGTAATCTTAAGCACTTTGAGAGGCCCAGGTGAGCAGATCACCTGAGGTCAGGAGTTTGGGACCAGCTTGGCCAACATGGTGAAAGCCTGTCTCTACTAAAAACACGCAAAATATTAGCCAGGTGTAGTGGTGCACATCTGCAATCAGCTACTTGGGAAGCTGAGGCAGGAGAATAATCTGAACCAGAAGGTGGAGGTTGCAGTGAGCCAAGATCATGCCACTGTACTACAGCCTGGGTTGACAGAGCAAGACTCTGTCTCCAAAAAAAAAAAAAGAATTCAGCACGTAAAACTTAGGTGTTTACTCTTTGAGAATTGAGCAGTAGAGGGCAGGTGCGGTGGTTTACGCCTGTAATCCTAGCACTTTGGTGGCTGAGGTGGATGGATCACTTGAGCTTAGGAGTTCAAGACCAGCCTAGCCAACATGGCAAAACCCCATCTCTACAAAAAATACAAAATTAGCTGGACATGGTGGCACACACCTGTAGTCAAATCTAATTGGGGGGCTGAGGTAGGAGGATCGCTTGAACCCGGGAGTTTGAGGCTGTAGTGAACAGAGATCATGCCACTTCACTCCAGCCTGGAAGACAAAGTGAGACTCTGTCTCAAAAAAAAAAAAAAAAAAAAAAAAAAAAAAAAAGAAGTGAGCAGTAGAGACGTTAGCCCCTCATCTTACAGATGAGGACATTTAAGAAGGGTTTTTGTTGTTGCTGTTGTTGTTGTGACAGGGTCTTACTCTGTCGCCCAAGGTGGAGTGCAGTAGTACGATCATGGCTCTCCACAGGCTCCTCCTCCCAGGCTCCAGCAATCCTCTCACCTCAGCCTTCCCAAGTAGCTGGGACTACAGGCGCACACCACCACACCCGCTAATTTTAAATGTTTTATTTGTAGAGATGGGGTCTCAGCATGTTTCCCAGGCTGTTCTCTAACTCCTGGCCTCAAGTAATCCTCCTGCCTCAGCCTCCCAAAGTGCTGAGATTAGAAGCATGAGTCATTGTGCCCAGAGAAATGACAGTAATATTAACATTAATTAATGAAATGTTACCCACTGTACAGTTAGGACTACACATTAATGTATAGTGATGAGTTTCATAGTCACGACATTAGAAGGCTTAAACAGGTATGCCAACGAAGAAAACTATTTCAATGTATATTTAAAAACAAATGCATGCTATACTTAATCTTTAAAAATATATAATCTAACACACTAATATTCTTTTGGGAAAATCTATTATTTATTAAGTAACAAGTAGTATCTGCAGGCCTTCAAACTAAATTCAGATTTTTATATCACTCCGTAAGTATGCTGACACCTAGGGGGAGCAGTCCCTCCTGATTTGTTCAATGAAATGAAGACACTAGCTAGTTGCCATGTGCATTAACATATTATAACTAATCAACTTACCTTCAACTGCACTAGCAGTGTCACATTCTTCAAATTCAATGAGGCCTAGAAAAAAAAATTGAAAAACTTCTAGTAGAAAAAAACAGTTAGAAAATAATTATCAGGTAAATTTTAATACTCTTTTTACATTTTAAATATTTTATTCTAATTGACAAGTTATCTTTTTAATTGTTCTGACATGGTTCTAATTGTTATCTAATAGTTAATTCAAATATCAGTAATAAATTTTAAAAATCAAATAATTCCAACAGTGAAAAACAACTAAGACTAGCCCATTATGATCACAGTAACTATTGAAAACCCACTGTATGTGATGTCACAGAACTAGAGACACAAGAACTAATATGTAATTTCTGCTTTCAAGTAGCTGGCAGTACTGCTGATGAGAGGAAACAAGCATGGTAAGAGGTGACTGCTAAATCCTTGGTGGTGTTCATGGGAAGAACAGGGCTACCAAGATAGTAAATACTACTAGAATGTAAGCTTGGGACCTCATCTGTCCTGTTCATGACTTGTGTGTCTTCAATACTCAAAAAATGCTAGGTAAATAGTAAGTCGAGTAAATAAGTAAATATTTATTGAATGAATAAATAAACTACAGACTTGTCAAGTGGTAGGCTTGGGATTATAATCCAGGTCTCTCTGACTGTATAGCAGGTCAAGGAATGTGAACTACAGGCTTGCAAGAAACAGGAAAAGTTTTCATGTAAGATCATATACATCTACCCCATAAAGTGATCTTCGAGGAAAATTAATTTAGCACTGCTATGAGTGATAGATTGTAGAAGAGGAGGATGATAAAATAGAATCATTAGCAAACAATTAAAATAGTCCTGAAATGACTGACTGCTGAGACTAGACTTAAATGCCATAAAATGTAGTACACTTCACATATGTGAAATATCAAATTATTTGGCAGTAGAGAAAGTAGCAAAACATGAACTACTCTCCTACAGAAATATCCCAAAAGCTAAATATGAGACTAAAAAAATTATCTCCCACTAAGCTATCATTTTAGTCCTTTTTATAAGAAATTCATGAAAGTCTAGAATTTTTTGTGAAATAATTTTTAATTTATTAATGGTAATGAGTATAACTTGCTATATGAAGAAACTTTAAAATAGAGCTTGAAGTAGAGTAGATGACAGAGGATTTTGTTACTGGTTCTTCTGAGATGTGAAGCTTAACTATGTACGAATTCATGATCAGCATTATTATTGATCATTCCACTATAAAAGAAAACCACTGATTAACAAGAAAGGTTTCTCTACAAGCAGCAGGATCTAAAAATATTGGCCCTCTCTCTCCCTGCCAATCTAAGATTTATTTCTGTTTGATTCTAGTTTCCATTCAAATAAAATAAACATTAGTAATAAGCAGAATAAAACAGTCATAAAAGTGAGTTGATAAACAAGGTCCTAATCAATTATTAGTATCTTCCTTACTAATACATTCTTCTAAATATAGACTAAGACTCACTTTTATGACTGTTTTAAAAAAATAAAAAGTTTTTCACTTCTACCCAAAAAAGTCTTAAATAGTCAGAAAATGACCCAATTAAAAATTTAAGGACTGTATTCAAACCCATCCTGCAAATCTGGAAGCCGAGAAATCATTTAATAAAAGGGTACTGAGCTTGTTCTTAGACTCCCTTAGAGGCCTATCATAACAATTTACAATGAGCTGAGAGCAGACTGAAAAATCAATAAGGGTAAAGAAATTAAGACGTGCATCTCATAATTAGCAACTTTTCACTTACTATAAAAATTATGAAGAATAATAAATCTCGACCTATGTTACCAATAGCTTATTATATATTTTTGGCTTTTCCAAGTACTAAGAAAGCTTGAGATAATATAATCATCTGTCAAATAAAGCTGAGAGTTTACCAAAAAAAGGCAACCAGGCATGTGGTTAGTCAAAAATTCTACAGCTACACATCCACATAATTTCTACCCATTAACTATTTACAGAATCTCTAATGCTCAGGCCATGGGCTTACTATAGAGGAGAAAAAAAGTAAATAAAATAAAAACAAAATACCAATGTCAAACAAATTGCCTTGTTTACAAATACCAAATATATATTATCTAGAAGGGCTTTTACATCATCATCTTAGCAAATACGGTACATACAGAAAAAAACTGTACAATTTTTGGATGACTTCATATATGTGAAACTAGTAAAGAAATCCCTTAACTATAAAATCAATTCCTTTAAACAAAATTCTTCATCTTTTTCTCACAAAACTTTTCCTATAGTAAACGTATCTTGATTTATCTTTTCTAAACAGTTTCTTAAAATCCATTTGAAATAGAAAAATGTCCAAAAAAATCCAAAAGAAAAAACATTTTGAAATACAAGATGCGAAATCACTTCAAATCATAAAATATATATTAAAAATTTTAAATTGAGTACCATCCACATAAACTTTCTATTAAAAATAGAAATAATGATTTCTGGTATAAAAAAACTAAATACAACCTTTCTTAAAAAAAAAAAAAACATTAAATCATACATGAAAAGATTTTCTTTTACAAATGGCATATGCTCCACATGCTGCTTCACACGGCAAGGCTTTGCGTGCCTGGCTCAGTGCCAGTTGACAACTCAGCTGGATATCAATGCACATTCTGACCCCCCTTGTAGCATGTCACTTCTGAATGTTTCACAAGTGGAAAGTTTATTCAGCATCTCCTTCAAATGCAGTCCACTGCCCATCATTCTGCTATTTAATCATAAGACAAGTTATTTTTTTTGACAGTACTAAAGCCAGAGTGAGAGTCTTAACGAATAGTTTGCTACAACTGGAATTTCAACTGTTTTAGACTCAATTAATTCTTTTGTCAAAATAAATAACTGCTCTTAGCACTTAGATTTTATGTTGGGTCACAAGGGCAATTTAGTTTGTATAAAAGCAAATAAAACCATTTTGGCTCTGTCTCTTGATGCTCTTTTACACATTACTTTAAAACGCCACTATGAGTTCAATTAAACTCACAGAAGAACAACTCTAAGAGGTCAATAACTGAAAGCAAAACAATTCTTAAATATGATGCTTTATCATCAGATAGGAATAAATAACTGCTATTTTTAAAAAGCCATCAACCTAAAGAATTCATTCAAACCTAATTTGGATCAAAATTTTGAAAAGATGTTAAAGAGGGAAAGCAACTTACTTAACAGTAATCTTTGATCACCTTAAACGTTTTGTGGAATGAGGAAGAGTATAAAATATAAAAAATGTAAAATATTTAATTAATAATCCCCGTTGCTTCGGAATCAATCCTAAATCTCAGGCCATCAACAGGACAAGTTTGTAATCTTATCTAGTTAAAAACTACCCTCAAAATTCAAATAGTAAGTCTGGGCTACTCAAATCAAACATATTTCTGCTTCTAATCAGAATTAAACACATACAAACACTCTCAGTCAAACACTAAAAGTTTTAAAAAAGGAATGATGATTGTGCATGTGCAAGCACCGAGAGAGGTATGACTCATAACAATGGAAATCAATGACTACATTTTCAAGCTTGCTCCTGGGCCTGTGGAATGCAACACAGTCACATTCCCAGATGCCTGGGATGATGGGCCAGGCAAGTTAACACAAAAAAGAGAATCACACTCCAGCTTGTGGTGATATGCAAAAGGCATGGAAGTTCAAATTCGAATTTTGATACTCTTTCTGAATTAGATACTGCTTTTGAACCTAGGTTGTATCATTTATAAAAGGTGGATAACAAATATAGCATTTGCTCTCTCTCTCCACATAGCTTTATATAATTTTTTTCTTTTGCTAAACCATTTGAAAGTTGCAGACATTAAGGACACTTCACTTCAAGAGTGTGTGTTTTAATAAAGGACTTACAGAATCAATTTCCTCAATTCAGTGGTTCCAAACCTCGTGAGAGACCCCTGGTGCAATGCTTCTAAACTATATTAAGTATGAGAATCACCTGGAGAACTTCTTAAACCAAAGACTACTGGACCCCACTCCCAGAGTGTTCTATTCAGAAGGTTTAGGGTGGAGCTCAAATATTTGCATTTTTAACAAATTCCCAGATGATGCCGCTGGTCCTGTAATCCCATTTTGAGAAATACAGTCCTAGTAGACTCTGTGACCACTGCCAGATATTTAATTAGTCTGACAGTGCTTCTCCAATTATACTGTGCATACAAAGCCCAAAGGATCTTGGGGTCTTATTAAAATACATTCTGATTCAGTAGGACTGAGATAAGGTTTGAGATTCTCCATTTATAACAAGCATTCATGTAGTGTGATGCTATAGGTTCTCAACAACTGCTGCAAGTTAGAATCAGCTGAGTTTTAAAATATAGTGGCACCCACACTGGACCAATGAAGTCAATTTCTTGGCTGGGCACAGTGGCTCACACCTGTAATCCCAGCACTGTGAAAGGCTGAGGCAGGCAGATCACCTGAAGTCAGGAGGGCAACAACACTCTGGCCAACATGGTGAAACCCTGTCTCTACTAAAAACACAAAAATTAGCTGGGTGTGGTGGTTGGCCCCTGTAAACCCAGCTACTGAGGAGGCTGAGGCAGGGGAATCACTTGAACCCAGGAGGCAGAGGTTGCAGTGAGCCAAGAACACGCCACCACACTCCAGCTTGGGTGACAGGGCAAGACTCTGTCTCAAAAAAAAAAAAAGAAAGAAAGAAAGAAAGAAATCAATTTCTACACATTAAAAAAAAAAAAGGAAAATAAAAGGCAAAAAAAAAACCTCCAAAAATAATTCTCATATGTATCTGATATGGTTTGGATGTCTGTCCCCTCCAAACCGCATGTGGAAATGTGATTCCCATAAGGGAGGTGGGGCCTAATGGGAGATGACTGGACCATGAGGGAGGATCTTTCATGAATGGCTTAGCATCATCCCCTTGGTAATAAGTGAGTTCTCGCTCAGTTATTTCACACAAAATCTGGCTGTTTAAAACAGTCTGGGACCTCCTCATCTCTCTCATGTTCCCACGATTGCCATGTGACATGCTGGCTCTCCGTTGCTTTCCACTATAACTGTAAGTTTCCTGAGGTCTTACCAGAAGCAGATGCTTCCTATAATGCCTACAGAACCATGTACCAAGTTAAATATCTTTCCTTTAATATGACCTAGCCTCAGGTATTTCTTTATAGTGACACAAGAATGGACTAATACAGTACCCAAGGCTTGAAAACTATGAAAAAAAAATTAGAAACTCTAGTCTTAAATCAAAGAAATAGGTTTTTAACCACAGATTTCAGTCACTGCGAAACATTCCAAAATTTTATCTAGTTCTCCAAACACAGAATCTTAGTACTGAAATATAATCTCCTCTTACATCCAAATTTTGACACTGTCCCCACACTCATAAGGTAAAGTCATGTTTTCATCTTCTGCAATCCTGATAAAACCCTTGCTTCTTTTAATTATAGCACTTATGTCTGTAAGCCTTTCCCATATCAGTTAGTGGCAACTACATTCTTTCAATTATTCATGCCAAAATCCTTAAAATGATTCTTCCCACCTCCTTTTTAAACAGTTTTGTTGAGGTATAGTTAACACACAATAACTATATCTATTTAAAGTGTACAGTTTAGGCCGGGCGCGGTGGCTCACGCCTGTAATCCCAGCACTTTGGGAGGCCGAGGCGGGTGGATCACGAGGTCAAGAGATCGAGACCATCCTGGTCAACATGGTGAAACCCCGTCTCTACTAAAAATACAAAAAATTAGCTGGGCATGGTGGTGCGTGCCTGTAATCCCAGCTACTCAGGAGGCTGAGGCAGGAGAATTGCCTGAACCCAGGAGGCGGAGGTTGCAGTGAGCCGAGATCGCGCCATTGCACTCCAGCCTGGGTAACAAGAGCGAAACTCCGTCTCAAAAAATAAATAAATAAACAAATAAATAAATAATAAATAAAAATTTAAAAAAAAAGTGTACAGTTTAATGAATTTTGACATGTGTAACATCTGTGAGTCTACTGCCACAAATAAGCTAAAATATATAGGTATCACCTCATGTTACCCATTCCACCCATCCCAAGGCAATCACTGATTTGCTTTCTGTCACTATAAATAAGTGTACATTTTCTAAAAAGTTACATAAATAGAATCATATAATATGGGCCTGGCATGGTGGCTCATGCCTATAATCCCAGCACGTTGGGAAGCCAGGGCAGGTGGATCACGAGGTCAGGAGTTCAAGACCAGCCTGGCCAACACGGTGAAACCTAGTCTCTACTAAAAGTACAAAAATTAGCTGAGGGTGGTGGCACAAAGCAACTGTAGTCCCAGCTGCTTGGAAGGCTGAGGCAGGAAAATCGTTTGAACCCGGGAGGTGGAGGTTGCACTGAGCCAAGATAGCACCACTGCACTCCAGCTTGGGTGAAAGAGCAAGACTCCATGTCAAAAATAAATAAATAAATAATCATATAATATGTACTCTTATTTTGGTCTGGCTTCTTTCACTGAGCAAAATTACTTTGAGATTCATCCATGTAGTTGCATGTATCAATAGTTCATTAATTTTTATTGTTGAGTAGTATTCCACTGTATGGACATTCATCTATTCATCTGTTAATGGACATTTGGGTTGTTTGCAGTTTGGAGTTACTACAAATAAAACTGCTATAAACATTCATATACAAGTGTTTGCACATATATTTCCTTTTGTCTTGGGTAACTGCCTAGGAGTAGAACTGCTGGATCATATGGTAAGCGTATGTTTAAATTTCTAAGAAACTGCCAAGGGGTTTTCCAGAGTGGTTGTACCATTTTATATTTTCACCAGCAGTTTTCATAAATTTCAGTTCTTCCACATTCTTGATAGCATTTAGTATAGTCAGTCTTTTTTTCTTTTTCCCAGATGGAGTTTCGCCCTGTCGCCCAGGCTGGAGTGCTGTGGTACAATCTGAGCTCACAGAAACCTCCGCCTCCTGGGCTCAAGTCATCCTCCCCATTCAGCCTTCCAAGTAGCTGATACTACAGATGCACACCACCACACCTGACTAATTTTTGTATTTTTTGTAGATATGGAGTTTCATCGTGTTGCCCAGACTGTACTTGATTTCCTGGGCTCAAGGGATCCACCCACCTTGGCCTCCCAAAGTGCTGGGATTACAGGTGTGAGCCACCCTGCCTGGCTGGTATAGTCAGTCTTTCAAATTTTTATCACTCCAAGTAAGTGTCCACTGCTATCTTTATGGTGGTTTTAATCTGTATTTTCCTAATTAATAATGGGGTATCCTTTCGTATGCTTATGTGAAAATATATATATATATATTTCAGGAAGTGTCCAAATCTTTTGGTCGCCTTTTGCATTAACATATATACAAAATTTTGAAATAAATTTTAAATTCTTTATTCAAACATTTATTTTTATCTGTATATATTAATGGCTATTTATTTTATTCTTTGTGTTATAATCTAATATTTTTATTACTTGCTCAAGTAATTCCAGCTTTGGCCATTGAGAATTCTTTTCAGGTTATCACCTATGTCTCTCTAAACTATAAAACTTCAACTAAAAGACACAGTCAAATTTTAAAAAAATCTTTGTGATCTTCGATTAGACAAAGTTTTCTTAGATTTGACACAACAGCATAACACATAAAAAACCAAAATTTGGTAAAGTGGACATGAAAATTAACTTCTGCTCTTCAAAAACACCAAAAAAAGAAAAAAAGAACAAGCCACAGGCCAGGAGAAAACATTCACAAAATATATATCTGATATATGGTCTGTACTCTGAACTAATAAGACTGATATACAATTTAAAATGCTGAGAAGACAATTTAAAATGCTTAGAAGATTTGAAATACTTTTCAACAAAGAAAATTACAAATGGCTAATAAACACATGAAAAGATGTTCAATGTCATTAATCATTAGGTAAATGGAGATTAAAAGTCATAATGAAATACCATTATCCCACTAAAATGCCTATAATCAAAAAGATATGTAATACCCAGTGTTGGCAAAGATACGAAGGAAGCTGAGCCTTCACACATTGTTGGGAGGGAATCATAAAATGCTGTGGCCACTTGGGAAAACAGTTTAGCAGTTTGTTAAAGAGTTAAACATACACCAACCATAAGACCCAGACATTCCACTCCTAGGTATCAAACCAAGAGAAATAAAAACATATGTTACAAAAAGACTTGTAGGTAAAAGTTCACAGGAACATTACTCATAATAGGTAAAAACTAGAAGTAATGCAAATGCTCATCAACAGGTCAACAGCTAAACAAACTGTCATTCATCCACACAAGAGTACACTACTCAGCATAAAAAGAAGTAAACTACCGATACATGCAGTAACATGTTTAAATGTCACAAACATTACACTAAGTGAAAGAACCAGACACGAAAGACTACAAATTGTATTATTCTGTTTATATAAAATTTCTAGAAAAGTAAAAAATACAGACAAAAAGCAGATCAGTGGTTGTTTGCAGGGCATGGAAACCACAAACAGGTACAGGGGAACTTTCTGGTATAATAAACAATGTTCTAAAGCTGGATTGTGATAACAGGTAAACAACTGCATAAATTTACTAAAATTCATCAAACTGTATACTTTCAACAGGTATATCATATACTATAAAGTATAACTCAATGTGGCAGGCAGAATAATGTCCCTCCCTCTCCTACAAAGATTGACACCCTCACCTCCAGAACCTGTGAATATGTTATGTTACATGGCAGAGGGAAATAAAAACTGAAGATGAAATTAAGGTTGCTAATCAGCTGACTTTAGGGAGATTATCCTGGATTATCTGAGTATTCCTGGTGTAATCACAAGGGTACTCAAAAGTGAAAGGAGGAGGCAGAAGATTAAATCAGAGTAATGTAATGTGAGAAAAACTTGACTAGCCTTTGCTAGCTTTAAGGATGAGGAAGAGACTGGGATGCACAAAGAATGTGAACCCTACTAGAAGCTGAAAAAGGCAAGGAAACAGTCTCCTCTAGAGTTTCCATTCAGCTCTGTGATGATATCTTGATTTTTAACCAGTGAGATCCATGTGAACTTCCAATCGGCAGAATTGTAAGGTAACAAATTTGTGTTGTTTTATACCACAAAGTTTGTAGCGATTTGTGACAGCAGCAAATAGCTAAATAATTCTGAAAAAGAGGAACAAAGTTAGAGGACTCACAACTGTCCAATGTCAAAACTTACCAAAGGTACAGTAATCAAATAAGTGTGGTAATGGCATACGGACAGAATTGGAATTCCAAAAAAAATCCATATACCAATGATCAACTGATTTTTAGTAAGAGTGCCACAACAATTCAATTCAAAAAGGATAATCTCCTGAACAAACTGTGCTGAGAGAACTGACTATTCACATTTAAAAGAATGAAGCTGGGGCTGGGTGCAGTGACTCACACCTGTAATCCCAACACTTTGGGAGGCCAAGGTGAGAAGACTGCTTGAGCCTAGGAGTTCAAAACCAACCTGGGCAACACAGGAAGACTCAATCTCTATAAAAATGTTTTAAAAATTAGGCCAGTGTGGTGGCATACACCTGTAGTCCCAGCTACTCAGGAGGCTGAGGCAGGAGGATCACTTGAGGCCAGGAGTCTGAGGCTGCAGTGAGCTATGATCATGTCACTGTACCCCATCCTGGGAAACAAAACAAGACCCCATCTTTTAAAAAACAAAACAAAACAAAATAAAAAAACACAATGAAGTTGCAGCCTTATCTCATACCATGTATGAAAATTAACTCAAAATGGATAAAAGACCTAAATGAATAAGCTTCCTACAGAAAAACACAGGGGTAAATCTTCATGACCTTCAAATTGGCAATGGGTTATTAAATATGGCAGTAACAACACAACCAACAAAAGAAAAAAATAAACTTCATCAAAATCACAAACTTTTGTGCACCAAAAGACACTTGAAGTGAAAAAATAACCCACATAATGGGAGAATATATTTGCAAATTATGTATCTAATAAGGAGATCTAGTATCCAGAATAAAGAATTAGAACTCAACAACAAAAAGACAAACAATCCAATTTAAAAATGAGCAATGGACTTGAATAAAGATTTCTCCAAAGAAGATACACAAATAACTAACAAGTAAGTGAAAAGATGCTCAGCATCATTAGTCATTAGCGAAATGCAAATCAAAACCACAATACCGTATTACATACTCACTAGGACAGTGGTAATTAAAAAAAAATAATAATTTTGATAAGGATATAGGGAAATGGAACCTGCAACATTGCTGGTAGAAATGTAAAGTGGTGGCTGAGCACAGTGGCTCATGCCTGTAATCCCAGCACTTTGAGAAGCCAAGGTGGGTGGATCACCTGAGGTTGGGAGTTCAAGACCAGCCTGACCAACATGGAGAAAGCCCGTCTCTACTAAAAATACAAAATTAGCCAGGCATGGTGGCCCATGCCTATAATCCCAGCTACTTGGGAGGCTGAGTCAGGAGAATCACTTGAACCCAGGAGGCAGCGGTTGTGGTAAACCAAGATCGCACCATTGCACTCTAGCCTGGGCAACAAGAGTGAAACTCTGTCTCAAAAAAAAACAAAACAAAAAAGGAAATGTTAAGTGGTATAACTGATGTGGAAAAGAGTTTGGGAGTTCCCCAAACACTCA